GGTGGCCTAGTGGTTAAGTTTGGGGCACTCTGCTTCGGCAGCCTGGGTTTGGTCCCCAGGCATGGACCTATACCACTTGTCTGTCAGTGGCCATGCTGTGGTGACAGCTCATATACAGAAAGGGGAAGATTGGCAGCGGATGTTAGCTCAGGGCAAATCTTTCTCGGCAAAAAAAATTAAAAAAAAAAAAAAGAAGACCTCTGACAGGGTGACAGCTGTGAATTCAGGGCACTCTTAGACTATTCAGCTGGCTTTTAGAGCCAATTAAAGACCCTGTTTATTGATGCACTCAGGAATTCCATATTTAATGTACTGTATGCATTTTGATAAGCTTTAGAAAGTATTTATGAAGCAAAATATTTGCTGTAAAAACATTCACCTTCACTCTGGTTCTTTTTTATGTGGAAAGGCTGACTTTAAATCCAGAACACATTAAAAATGTTGGTCGAGGCATGCTGCTTTCTGTCACTCAACGAAAGTGACCATCAAATTCTATACTCTTTTCATCTAAGCACTAGGCACAAAGCATTCATAATGTTAACGTCTATACAGTTAATAATAATTATTTTTAATTGGAAAATTAAGAGTGGAGGAAGACTAATTTCATTCTGTTATGCTGTAAGTGTTCTCGGCAATTTTCTAAACCTTTCACTGCAATAACTTTGCCCCCAAAATAAGACTACATGTTTTAATTGCTCTCATAGTGATATTGACTAGTACAAAGTTGCCTAAAGTAGCAAGAATAAGATTTTTTTAATTTAGACCTTTCGTTTTTAGTTTATGTTCCAGTGATATTGTGTGTGTGTGTGTGTGTGTGTGTGTGTGTGTGTGTGACCAGTTTGAGCCCTAACTGCTTAGTAATTGATGGGAAAAGCAGATGACCATTTATCTGAGGTGTACTAGATGTCAAGCACTGTACTAAATGCCTTCGAGTACATTATCTTACTTAAACATCACTACAAGGCTGAAAGAGTTTATTGCAATCTGTATTTTATAAACGGGAAAGCTGAGGCTCAGAGAATTTAAGTAATTTTTTCACACTTAGACTAATAATAAGTAGCAGATCTGAGGTCTGACAGATCTTCTTCATTCTTCTCACTGTACCATAGGCTTCTCAGTGAGAACATTTGTTTCCATCTCTTTCTGAGGCTTTGGTTTTCTGTTTTATTAATATGACGATATTTGTTAGAAACTACATCTAATTCTAGTTGGGAAGAATCAAGAAATAAATAAATTTAGGAGCTAATTACTTATGAGTGAATGAGTTCTAAAAGAAGGGACTAGCCTGCAAACACAGAAGTGCTGTCATCCCAGCAGTCATGGGGTGGCCTTGGTGCCTCTTGCCAGTCATCTGAGGGAGCCTGTCAAAGCATTGTCCTCATTGTTAGAAACAGGAAGTATGACGGGCATTGCTTCCCCTTCTTTCTGCACAATATATATTCTAATTGTAATCCTAGTGTCAGTTTCCCTTTCTTTCGAACCATCCATCATCATTCAGCATTTTCTCTGGTGACTGTCACCTGGACTCTGACAGCCGAGATTAGACCGTAAGCATAATGAATGAAGGAGAGAGAGATGCTCTGGCCCTTTCGGTACACTTCTCAGGATTGAACAACATGTTCTTTAAGAATGTTCATGACAGCACCTCCCAGGTTAGTTGATTACGGGAAGGCGTGTGAGGAGAGGCAGGTTTTGTTTCTCACCCAGAATATTGAAATGCTAGAATAAATCTCAGAGGGTAGAGACTCGCAGACCACCGTACAGTATTCGGCCGTGGCCTTTTCTTTTCATTCTGACAACTTTATTTTCAAAGAGGTTTTCTTTGGGTTGGTGCTGTTAATTGGTAATTTAGTAAGCTAGATTTGGACTTGTAGCCTGTAAGGAGGAGATTGCGTTAAATGCAGTGTAGATGGCATTTGGTAATGGGACTAGAAGAGTATATGAGGTTTCTATAGATGGAATTTTGGTCAGGGGGAGAGGGGTGCAGGTAAAGAGGAGAGTCTCTTTTTTCCTATTTCTACCCGAGGTTTACTTTTTATTTAGTTTAACCGCACTGTGTGAATCAGTAATCATCTTTCTGTAACTATCAGGGATTCAGAACAAATGAAACTATTATTTAGTTTCTAGCCTGATGCACTGTCATCGAGCCTTTATTTTCACAACCAGTCTCCCTCTCACTGACATTTCTGGTGGCTCCTGTGCCTTATTTTTGGTATTGTATCTTTCTTTTGTTATCTCTGTTCCCTATATGATTGTTATTAACAAATGTTTATTAAGCACACCTACTACCTGTAAAGCTTTGGGGGTACAGAAAGAATTGCTTAGTTTGTTAGGTTTTTGACAGTTTACGGAGGACCTCATGTGTACCTTTTCATCTAATTCTAACACATTCTATGAAGTTAGGTGTTTATTCCTTCATTCATTCGGCAAATGTATGCTTTTATAACTACTTTCTGGGAAGTTACATTCCAGGTGGCCAAAAGTTTACATAAGCTTTAGAAAACAAAGGACAATAATAGAAGTGAGGTTCTATGGGTTATTTTATATAAAGTCATTGTTAATGGAATTGTGCCCATTGGGAGAGAGGCACCCAACAGTTTAGGGCTAGACCTGGGGCCTAAAGGAGTGGTAGGAGGGGAGGAGGCTCTCCAGATGGGAGTGCAGTCTGGACCAGGGCATGGAGGTGGGCATACATGCAACGCTTTCAGTGTGCGTGAAGTTTGGAGCTAGGTTAATCAGGTCTGTATTTAATTACTGAATATCTAAAATCATAGAACTTCAGAATTTTTAGAAACCATTGGAGGTCATGTAGTTCAGCTCACATTTGTCTTTAAAAGAGATGCTCATAATGATTAGATTAGTGCATTATTTTTTTGGTGTAGATTTATTTATTTTATAGGAAGTTATTTATGTTTTTCCTAGAGTGCAGAATATAACCCGGTTTCTTCTACACATACACGTTTCCTTGGTGATTCAGATCTGACTCCACTTTATGCTCTGACAAAGAGAAGTGTTGATAAAGAAGATATATTTATTCTGGGGTTTTGTCTGTCTGTAACCATACCATGTGACCTTTTGAAAAGGATTTTTATTAAAGGAATAGAGTTTGTGGTAGTCTAGACTCTCTCCTTTTGCTTTCAACTCAGCAAAATCACTGACTTAGCAGAACACTAATATCTCTGATGCAAATATAGTTATATTTTCATTTTTTTCAAAATGAGAGAAAACAGCTCATGATTTTGAATCAAGAGCTGTACATGCCAATTATATTTTCTGTTTTTTTAAAGAAAAACCATGTTCTGATTAGTTGGTGGAAACAACTGATCCAAATGGGATTTGTCTAGACTCTCATGCCTCTGGGAAGTCTTGATGATCCAGGGTATGGATTTCTGAAGCTTCACATGTTTTTATCAGTCAATTTCCAAGATGCCGCAGAGACCATTAAGACAGATAATAAATCGGGTGAGATTTAGTTATATTTGGTATCCTGCAAAGAACTATAATTAGAATGAAAATGTTTAATTTAGACAAAAGAAATGAAATATTTTAAGTATAGATTGTTGGGTTTTGAGGAAGCCCATTAAATAGCATCTTCCTTTCCTGTCAAAGTTCTGAAACTATTAAGAAACTATTAACATAAATAAGGTAGGTGGAAGGTGAAATACCACTTTTATATTGGTATAAGTGAGACTGAAGGATGTAGCCTAGTTTGAGAGCAAAGTGAGTTTTCTAACAGAACATCGAAATTAGACATTTACTGATCCACTTAGAGAAGGTGCTAGACTACTTCATCCTTCTCTGACAAGGCAGGACTTTCGTTGCTAAATTTAGCGAGACAACGCTTACTATCTACAGGAATTCTGGTTTCTAAAGTGGAAAAGGGAGTTCCTGAGGCATGCATGCCCAGCTTTTTCTTCTCAATTTTACCTAAAGAGTTTCTTCACTTCCCCTAGAGTGGGTAAAAGATGGAGGGAGGCCAAAAATTACATTAATTGAGCTTCATTCTAATAGAAAGAAGCATGAATGGGGGAGGGGGAGCATTTCTCCCAGCATCCTAAAGTACACATTTTTCACATTCTAAACTCTTTGAAATTACGATGTATCTTAAATCAATGGCGTCTTAATGGCCGTTTCAATTCATGAACCTCTTAAGGACCATTTGAGGAAAGAATATGAGTCTTGGTTTAGGAACAGCTTCTCTTTAAACCTTCTGATAGCATCAAGAACATGTCAACATTAAACGTTGCAGAATGGATATCAGCAGCCTGGAATGAAATACTTGGTGACACTGTTTAGAAAACGAGCTTTTTGACAATGCTGAGTCATTCAGAAGAGCTAGACTCTGACTGTTATAGTTTTAAGAAGACCTTAAACAATTTATTTTTCTTATATTTCCTTATTAAATGTGTAGGAAAGATTGATGGTAAACATCTATTTATTTTAAAAACCAAAGGAACTTTTCAGTGAGAAAAATAAAGATTCTAAGTAATAAGGAAGCATTGTATAGTTTAATTAGCAAGACTTTTTTTCTTAGTGTTACATAAAACAGTAGTGTATCTTAACAATCAGTAGGGTCTTAGGCTTGGTCGGTTAGGTTTCTGTAGGTCTCTGCTCCAGTCTTTACAGCCCTGGACATCTTTGAATGGCACTTCCTCCTTCCCCTGAAGGTTTCATGTGCTGTACTTTCCAAGATAGGCACTGCTGATTAGAGGTCAAAATTAGCCTTAACTGAGTTAAATCCTTGCACTGTTTCTTTAAACATATTATTTATTCTTACTCTGCTTCCATGTTATCGCTTCAAAGAGAAAATGCTAATCCATAGTTTAGTTAATAAGAAAGACTGGATCAAGTCATCCAAAATAATTTTGTACATATTGAAGGCAATCGTTTTCAAAGATGGTCTTACTTATAGCAGTATAACATTTGTCTGTATAGGTTTGGTTTATTTCTTTGTAAAAGTTCTAATAAACTAAATTTCTCTTTTTTCTTTTTGCTGAAAGGGGGTCCTGATGACAACTTAATTGAAGGTGGAGGAACAAAATTTGTCTGCAAACCTGGAGCCAGAAATATTACTGTCATATTCCATCCATTACTAAGGTAAGTCAAATCCTATGTACTCACTGAAGATCAGTGTTTTCATTATTTATGCTGGTAGGTCAGTCAGCCTTGAACCAAGTCATTAAGAACTTGTTCCGTTTTCTAGGGCTTCACTCTCAAAGTTTGTCAACAGAACAAGTAGTGTCAACCCCACTAAGAAGCTACTTGTTCTCAGGAGTTCACTCCATAAATACTTTGATCTGATTTTCCTTCCTGCTCCCTGCCCCTGCCCTTTCCCCCTCCCCCTCCCTCTCCCTATCTCTCTCTCTCCCTTCCCTTTCTTAGCTGTTTCAGGGGTTGGCAAACTGTTGCCCATGGAAGAAATCTAGCCTGTCATGTGTTTTAGTAAATACATTTTTTTTAATAAAGATTGGCACCTGAGCTAACATCTGTTGTCAATCTTCTTTTTTCTTCTCCTCCTCCTCCTCC